AAGGCAAAGAATGGTTTGAAAGAACTACGTACCTGTGTAATCAAGAATACACTAGCGAATCCGTAGTTAAATGTCAACCAGATAGCCCCACCTTGTACAACAGCTGTCACAGCGCCGTGAAGCCATACAAAGACTTCCAACCACAAGGTCCAGTTTCTATTTCGATGGGTGGATTGAAACAATAGAGACGATTGAATAAAGAGGAGAAATTGATAGGTGAATCCTAACCAGTGCCCCGCGGTACCTGCATAACTTTTGACTTTAGCTTCCGCACGAAAAATGAACCTTGAAATTGAATAGAAATATACCTTCGCAAGGATGATACCAAAAATCATAAACGATCCCAAAACTGATGATATAGCCGTGATAGCGCTTCACAACATTCTTCATCTCTACATGGACATACTTCCAATTTTTGACATATCCAAAGAAAAGACCCCGTCTAGGCAATTCCTATTATCATTCAATCAGCGTCAGTTTCGCCATAACCTGTATTCGAGTTGGAGCACGCAATCATACCAGCATCAAAATGATTAGCAACATGACAGCCACACTGCCCAGAGCTGTTATTTCTGGTACATCAACCGCTAACCCGTCATAAAATAAATGAGATTGGATCATTTTTAACAGAACGAACGCAATGTTGACTTTTGTCATCCAGACGGCATATGGGTTAAAAGACTTGGTAAATTTCAGTGGGACCGGGGTATTTTGGGCTTTGAACAGGATAAACCATTGAAGAAATTGGTGGAGAATGTAACCTATTCAACAGCAGATAACAGTTGTTAAACGTACTGAAAATGGAAGCTGCGGGATGAAGTGAATGGATTAAAGATTGTATCGTACCTGCCCATGCAGTAGCTCTTGCGATGACAGTTCGTTCAGCTCTGATCAGCACCCAGGGGTAAACCCAATTAACAGAGAAATCTTTGCCTCTAATGGTGAATTTACCACCAAAAGTCGTTTCTTGAGGCGGGTATCCAGTTAAAAATTTTGTCCAAAATGCAGGTTGAGTGAACGCCGAAGAATTCGCAACAGTGACCAATAGGGAAGCGCAGAGGAGCGAAAAAACGGTATAGACCAAGACAGGAGAGCTGTCAGCTGTTGGTAGCTATATTAGATGTAATATTTTAATTAATGTCGGTGATTTTGAGTATATTTTGAGGTAAGATGCAATTCTGTCCCAAGTTACATACCCATCTGAAAGCGGCTGGAGCCTCTGCGTCGTTATCGCCACTTTTGTCTTTCTGGTTGCCTTTGACTTCACCACTTGCATTCAACAAGTAGGTGGATAGCATGTCTTTCGCTTCATCTGAATGACCTTGCTTGTCGAATGCGGCAGTCATATCTTTACCCTTGTACTCTAGTATAACTTCCTTGCCACCAGGATGGTCATCGAGAAAATCAGTGATGTCTACATGTTGAGGTTATTATGGACATATAAAATTTGTATGCATCAAACGTAAGGGAGATCAAAGTTAGTTGGCCAAGTTATGAAGGCATATAGAGGGAATATCATCGATGTAAGAAGCATTACCATACTGCTGTCCCTGGTAGGTAACAATGAATCGATTTTCCTTAGGAGCGGAGGAAGGGTTTGCCTTATTAGGCTTGGGAGAAGTGTCGACGGTTCCGGGGATATTGATTTGAACGTCACTCGAGTCTTCCGCCATTGAAGGGAGTGCGAATACGTGGACGGTATGGGTAATGAGATGGAGTTGTAATTCGCAGTTGCGGAAGAGAGAGCGTAGATATAAATATGCTATGTCCACGTCAATCGTGCTCTGGATGCGCTTCGATCGATATGCTTTCTCAGACGATGCATCAGTCATGTATTAGTCATCCTCTCTCTGACGACAATGTGTTATGTGATCAACTGGGCAACATGTTCTCGAAAAGGATGACAGAAACTTGACAGAATGTGTGTTGGTAGTGGTACTGTGTTGGTACATGCAATGAGCAATCCATGTCTCCATCATCATCGGACTTTATTGGGATAGACTAACAATGCGCACTTACTTTGCGTATTGTTAAATGGTGACCTGTAACAAGCACTCCTGAGAACTCCTGAGTTGCGTATCGGTGATGCCAACATCAATAGTGGTGGGCAACTGGCAAGACTAGAGGTGGCACTTCCTTTCACAGAATAAGCAGAGTATATTCTTTATTTGAAAGCCCTCTTCCTTCATCTTTTCACACAAGTGCGCCCTAGTGTCTGTGTATTCGCCGGAAATAAGAACAGAAGCGTAAATGAAGTCCAACGCAAAGACAAAGAGATTGCATGAAACACTGAGCAGCGCCTAATATCATTACGGTGTATATATATCACTTAGATGGCATCTAAAATGTCGATATCAATATTGTTGCCCAGAGCAAATGCTGCTATCTACATTTAGTACTTCTAGGTAGTCATTTGACCCTATTGTCTGCTCCGCGCTTTGCTGTCCTTCGGTTTCCCGCATTCTCCATATCTGTTTAATACAACTTGCTCCAGTGTCATTGCCACATACAGTCCGCATGTGTATAAAATAAATTGTGCAAGTGCTAAATAAAGCGAAAAAAAGTAGAAAACCAAGAACATGAAAAGCAGCTGGCGTGCTTGGCCCCGCAGTGTTTTCCACCCCATTTTGTTCAGCGTTCGCTCGTCCTCGTAAGTATATCCTGGCAACTACACAAAAAAAATAAGCAAACATCAGCTACAAACACTCATACATTCCTCATCCCTCCTCTCTCCCAAACAATGGCAGCCAAAGCCGCTTACATGAGAGAGTACAAGCTAGTCGTCGTTGGCGGCGGTGGTATGTATCTTTGTTCCAATTCAACAAAAAATCTTCAACGCTTCTATGTACAATCGTGGTGAGTTGAGCGGCAACTGTTCCCAACACTCTTTCAATGTCGCAAACCGATTATTCCTACCGGAACTTCCGCTGTAATGACCAATTCAACGACGAGTTAATCACGACATGGTTAGAATCCACCTTGTTCTAAGAATGTGTTGTCGTACAAGCAGCATTCGCTATCATTTTCAAGCGCAAATGTTACATCCCTCCCTGCATATAACGGCATGCATAACAGTTTGCAATATTCTGAACTGTTATATCACATAGGGTCAGAGCTGCATTATATGTTGTTTAGCTTTGACGAATGATATCGAATAGGCAAACAACGATGAGTTCTATCAGTGCATGCATCCTAGCAACATAAACATTTCACATCACTTAGTATATATTAGATTACATAGAAGGAACAGGACAGAGGTCTGAAGGATATTCGAGTGTCACAAATAGTCCTGGTTTTAAAACACATATGTTCGGACTCCATTTTCAGTCAAACTGTCGCTCAACTCACCTTTCATCACACTTTCTACGCTGCGTAGCGCTTTACATTAAATGTGAGTGAGAAATAAACTAACTTGTAGCTTTATTGGCATCTCAATTTGTAACATATAGGTGTCGGTAAATCAGCATTGACAATTCAATTCATACAGTCTCATTTCGTTGACGAATATGACCCCACTATCGAAGGTATGCAATCGTTTGACTTATCATGCGAGTAGCAAGTGTTAATCGGTTTTATACCAGATTCTTACCGCAAGCAGTGTGTCATTGATGATGAAGTTGCACTACTGGATGTGTTAGATACAGCAGGTCAAGAGGAATACAGGTACGAACTCTTCTCGCTCACAGCTTACATCCACCCTGCCCTTTCTCACATATTACCGCACCTGTTGTAATATCGCTATAATCTACAAACAGTGCGATGCGAGAGCAATATATGAGAACTGGCGAAGGATTCTTGCTAGTGTACAGTATCACAAATCGTAATACGTTCGAGGAAGTTGCTACATTTTATCAGCAAATATTACGAGTAAAGGACAAAGATTATTTTCCCGTTATTTTAGTGGGGAATAAGTGCGATTTAGAGAGTGAGAGACAAGTATCGCAGCAGGGTTCGTATTCGTATCTGCTCTACAATCGAAGTGGACTTACAGCACTTCTAGAGAGTATTGAGAGCTGACTTATGTCTTAAACCGTCTTTTTTTTTGTTAATTTCTCTTTGATTATTGTAACAGAGGGTCGAGACATGGCTCGCAATTTTCAGAGTAAACTCATCGAAACCAGCGCCAAATCCAAAATAAACGTAGACGAAGCATTTTACCATCTAGTGCGAGAGATAAGACGATACACCAAAGATATATCAAATGAAAATGGGTCTCCCACAAAGAACGGGGAAAAGGCTACTTCCGGCGAAAGGAAGAGAACGAAAAGTAAAGGAAAGTGGAAGACATGTGTTGTGATGTAATTTAGGATGTTTATATCTTTCTCTGTCCCGATGTGTTGCTGGTTACCAAAAGATTAGTTGGATTATCGCAGGAGAGTTCACCCCAAAATGAATTCAATCACTACCACCAGCTGCCTCGGTTGGGTCTCAATCTCTTCCTCGTCGCCCACATCCTCTTCAGCCATCGCCGTCACTCTTACCCCATGTTTTCATCCCTCTTGTCTTTTTTACATCAATCCAATGTGATACCAGTACCATGAATTTTCGAATTGATCAATGCAATTAATTCTTTTTTGTTTTGTAGCTCATTTATCTATATTAGTTCAGTCTACATCTATGAATTTGTTTCATTTTGTTTGCTAGTGTTCTATCATGTTCTTTCTTTTTTGTGGATGTAATAAGACAACCCTAGTCCATTTATTATTATTTGTTTTTTCCCGTTGTATTTCAAGTACGCAATTATTGTAACTATTGTTCTTTAGCACAAGTTAAACCGGTTGGTCTTGTTCCATTTGGTATTGGTGGATGTACTCTAACTCCGGTTATACGAGAAAAGAAAAATATATTAATTTATTATCCTTTTACACTGGCCTGCTTATCGCGCATTTGGCATGTCGATTGACTATATGACACTCTGGAGAAAAACAAAAGTTATCTGAGAGAAAGTTTTCCTTCGACAGAAAGTTTTCCTTCGACATCCGATGAAAGCCAAAAAAAATTGCCCCGTCGCCGAGTCGAACGACGGACCTTCTGTTTCGCAAGATACAAGACAGATGCGATACACCACTACGCTAACGGGGCGGCTGTTCCCAGCGCTGCGCTATGAACAGATCATAAGTACGCAAATCAGAATCTGAATAGTTTGTTGTTATTCTTGATTTGAAAGTTCTTTTTAAAGAAAGCTAATGCTGCTGATATTCTGGCTGCGATATCTGCTCCCCCGAAATGAGTCCTATTGATTTGAGCCCAAAAGGCCACTGTTTTCTAACTATATGTAACCCATATAAACAGTATAAATACACCGAGTACAACGTCATATACCCGGTTCAACATCACCAACAGTTATAACGAAAGTTAATATCAAAAATGAATCAAGGCTGAGCCGGAAGAAAAAGTACATTGCCCCGTCGCCGAGTCGAACGACGGACCTTCTGTTTCAGCCCAACTGGTGGACGTACAAGACAGATGCGATAAACCACTACGCTAACGGGGCTGATGTTTCAGAATGTTCTTTTAAAAATAACTTAAAATTATAATATATGAATGGTTGTGATTTGACAATATCATAAGCTTGAAAAAATGGTCCATTTTGTCATGTGAATTAAAAGAAGTCGCCCGTGTAGCTCAAGCAACGTTTGTATGTTGTGCTTGGCTTCTTGTGTTATCGATCTTCTCTTTTAACTTCAACTGATTTCATCTCAAGGCCTAAGAACCGTCATTATTGGTGCCCATTGAGACTGAAGAATGACGTTTCTCTTGTGCCGTTACTATTCTAGAATGCTGCAAATCATGAACCACCAGTCGCAAGTCACAAGTAGTTTGTTGGATCAGCTTTGTAATTCCTAGGTCGTCGCTATCGCGATCGTGACGTGGTTACTATTCTCGGATGCTAACGTCAGGTGTATTGTTCTGGCTAAACTCTTATTTGAGTTTAATCCTTATAAATAGTGACACTCCCCCTTTCTCTGTTCCAACAACTCAACACAGAAGGTTCTAACACCGGAGTGAACGTTCGATCGACATGCAAGATAAGCAACTCTTTATAATCGCCATTTTCGTTTTATCAGTTGTCTCATGCTCAAATGCTACCGTCTGTCCTAAAGCCAATCGACAATGTGACAAATTTGCTCCCTGCTGTAATCGTGGGGGTTATTGCTCGGCTGATCCAATCGACTGTCTCGTTGATCAAGGTTGCCAGCAGAATGCTTCTTACACAGGCGCGTGTATCAAGTCGCCACCAAAATGTAAAAGTTTCAGGGAAGACTTCAATGATCCCTCTTCCGTTCGAAGAAGAACTGAATACGATGGTGATCCAGACAAGACTCGATTCATCGATGAAGTAAGTAATAATTGTAATTCGGTTCTCCTCGTAGCAATTCTAACCTTGCCTGTCACCCTATCTTAGTTTAATACGGTTAAAGTAGAAAACGGTTTCATGCAAATGACTCATGCATTTGATGAATCTCTTGGACACGGCAAAATTACCAGAGTGACATCCACCCGTTGGTTCCGATATGGTCGTTTCTCTGCTCGTTTGAGAACTTCCTTGGCTCCTGGTCTCGTCAACTCTTTCATATATGATTCCTCCGCTGACTCCGATCACTACGGTGATGAAATTGATTATGAATGGGTTCACAAAGACCGCACAGAATCTCAAACCAATTACTACATTGACGGTATAATCGATTACACCCGCGGAGTACCATACTACTTCAATAACAGCAGAACCGATGAAGCCTTCCACTTGTACGAAATTGAATGGTTGCCAAACTCCATTACTTGGATTATTGATGGCGTAACTGCAAGAACTGTCCGTCGAAACGGAACCGATCCATTCCCTGACGACTTTGGTAGAATGTTCTTATCTATATGGGATACTTGCAAAATGCCACAAGGGTATATATAATATATTTGATCTAATAATTTTTGAACTGACTTGACTGACATTACACTAATTTGTTAATCTTAATCAGGACTAAAGAATGGGCCGGCGGTGAAATGCCTTGGTGCGCCACTAATGCCCCAGCCTCTGCCAAAACTCCTACATACACCATGATGGTCGACTATGTCGAAATGAAATGCTACGAAGAAGATACTACGCCAACAAAAGAGTATATTCCCATTACCCCCAAATCTGCCAGACGATCAGAACTTGGCGGTCGAGGATCTGCTTACGACGATGCGCAAGCTCAAAAGAGCGCGGAATACAGTTTGAGCGCAAACCTCGCAATCGTATTATCAACATTTACATTAATGATATTTTCACTCTATAATTAATTAAGTTCAAGGAAGTTTAGTTTACTGTAACATAGATAATATAATTCGCGTCGAGTACGTTGTAATTAGCCATACTACTCAACAGTCGTTACACAACAAACAAGCTGTAAATATATCGATTTCCTATAATAGATTCCACTTTTTGATATCTAAAAACAGGAAGGAATAATTTTGTCAAGTGACCCTTGCCTGGTTGCTATTCTCGGCAACAACTGCGGGGTTTCCTTTATTGAACAAGTGAGTGCATCGTTACTTTAAATAGTTACAACATTGTCGATGGAGATGTACAAATACCATCAATGTAACCCCACGACTCCAAAAATCCGACAAAATCCTTATCCCTTACGAAATGCGAAACGTCACACTTCTAGCACTTTTCCTAACGCTTTGCACAGTTACTGCCGCGGTGAAATGCCCAAACGCCAAAACCGAATGTCCGCAATCGGCTCCATGCTGTAATCGCCATGGGTACTGTTCTGCAACCCCAATGGATTGTTATGTAGAGCAAGGATGCCAAGCCAACGCTTCTTATACCGGTGCCTGCGTCTCCATTAACCCTGGTTGCAAAAGTTTTAGAGAGGACTTCAATGATGGCTCCGCCGTCAAGAAAAGGGACGAATATGATGGTGATCCAGACAAGACAAGATTTATCGACGAGGTAATTTTTCCAAACAGAATTCAAAAATATCAGCCTTAGGTATCAAAGCTAATCTCTTTCCTCGAACTATTAAGTTTGACACCGTGAGAGTTTCAGACGGTTTCCTCCATTTAACGCATTCATACGATGCCACGCTCGGCCAGGGTAAAATCTCTCGATTATTCTCCACCAGATGGTTCCGATACGGCCGTATTTCAGCTTCCTTGAAAACCGGCCTTGCACCTGGCTTAGTCAACTCATTTATTTACGACTCATCCGCTGACTCTGACCACGTCGGTGACGAAATTGACTACGAATGGGTGTACAAAGATAGAACTGAAACTCAAACCAACTATTACATCGATGGTATTGTGGATTATACTCGAGGAGTGCCATCTTACTTCAAAGATCCGACAACTGGAACAGCCCAAAGTACAACGGACGAGACGTTTCATTTATATGAAATCGAATGGTTGCCGAATTCAATTTCGTGGATAATTGATGGTAAACCTGTGAGAACAGTGACCAGAAATGGAACCGATGCTTTTCCAGATGACTTTGGAAAACTTTTTATGTCTATATGGGATAATTATATTCTCATATTCAAGTTACTGGCGCGTGGACAGGCGATATTGACAAGAACTTTATTTCAATTCCACTAGCACCAAGGAATGGGCCGGCGGATCAAACCCCTGGTGCTCTCCAAGTGCTTCTGCAGCGGCCAAGTCTGCGCAATATGCAATGGTAGTTGACTACATTCAGGTGAAATGCCATGAGGAAGATACAAACCCAACTAAAGACTACATCCCTGTTACGCCAAAGTCAGCTCGCAAGAGTGAATTGGGAAAATATTACAATGGAAATCCAGCAAGAGGGATTGTAGGTGATAATAACGTGTATGATAGCTCTGCCAATGGTTGGAGTATAGTCGTAAAATTGTCTAGTGGAATTTTAGGAGTGATGATAGCAGTTTTACTGGGACTCTAATTTCATGACATAGAAATTTGATGAATATTCATTACCCAAAAAATGCTAGATGGTGTGTAGAAATTAATGATAGACGAAAATAATAAAAATAAGAAAATGATATCACAGTAAATACAGCACAGTTTGCACAATTGAATCAGCATGGAACCCCATCGTTTTATTTCTACATTATCAGACAAATTGAGTAAACAAAAACTTGGAAAGGAAGTTCAGTACAAAATATACACCCAAGCAAATATTGCTAATCTCACTAGCAACTATTTTGATATTGTGTTCATCCGCGTACAAATCATATGAATGATTTCCCAACAGACGTATTAAATTGCGTTATCCTCCCATTGAAGGTAAGTTAAATATAAGAATTAATGTCCATAAACCATGGGAGCCATAGATGTCGAATTTACGCCACCAGCTAGTTCCTTTTCCAATTCCTCATCTACGATATCCATTCTGGAAGTCTGATTTGCCAACTGCGCTTCAACATCTTCGGCTCGTGGAATCTGACTGGCTTGGGCAATATCGGGGCCGGAAAGACTGATTCATTACATTGCAAATATATGGAAGACAGATAATCAAAACATCAGTAACCGATATTTAGACAGCATAAATATTAGGAATTTGGATACATACGATTCCTTGCGGCGAGGACCATTGATTGCCGGTTTCGAGGCTGCAGCCTTTTGTGCCTTCCAGGATTCGTATTCTTGAGCAATCAAAACTGCATACACGAATCAGTATATTTCAACAAGACTCGAAAAAAATTTGAAGGCCACAAACCTTTTATTTCTTCAATTGTTTTTGCACTTTCGAAACTGAAATCAAACATTTTATTGTGCGCGGGTTCTTCTTCCGGATCATGGTATGTTTCGAGATAAGGATGGGCAAGGGCTTGCTCGACAGTGATTCTAGTGGCAGGGTCAAACTTGAGAAGTTTTTCGAGGAGATCAAGAGCTACAAGGGCAAAGTCAGACATAATCAAATCAGCAAAAAGATATATATAGTCGCCAAGCGACAGTTTACCAAGAGGGGTGGCTTTAGGGTAAAGTTGGGAGAAAGGGATTTTTGGCATTTTCGGCAAACTTCGAATGTACACTTGGGCCTTTCAACACAATAACAGAGTCAGCATAGGAGCAAAGAAGAAAAAAGGCGATGTTTGCTTACCCTCTGACTTCCAATTCTTCTCAAGGTTTCTTCGTCGGGTGTTCCCAATATACCCAAAATTTGATTCAATTGATCAACATAGTCGCGACCCTTGAAAAGAGGTTTGCTACCCAATAATTCAGCGAATATACAGCCGACAGACCACATGTCGACTAGAGTAAGTGTTAGATAATGTGCATTCTGTGCGATAAGTGCACATGAGGGTAACGTACTGGCTTTGGTGTAGCATTGGAAGGACAACATGATCTCAGGCGCACGGTACCATCTAGTGGCAACATATTCAGTCATGAACCCAGCGTTTGCATCTGGCGTTTCAGAGAAACCCCTGGCAAGACCGAAATCGCAAATCTGGAGGTAAAAAAATGAGCGACGAAGGTAAAGGTTGCATCGTGCAAGAATCTTAGTTATCGAACCTTTAGTTCACAATCGGC